TAATATATACTTTATAAGATCATTTATCTTGTACCGTACTTTACTATACATTATTTCTTAGAATAGAGAAATTCCTCATTCTATGATGTAGCCTATTAAAACACATCTGGATTTTTCTTTGACTCTCTAGTTTCATGACTGTGTTAATTAGTACACTTGCATTCCTTTCTGTCTTTTCTAAATCTGTCTTTATATAATTTTGCTCTTGACAAAGCTTTTGTGCTCCTTTTCCTCTCCTAAATTTACCTCCCTCCCCACTGGCCCGTACCCTGATTGCCCTGCCCCTTGTCCTCTGAAGAAGAAAAGATACACAGAGGCCATCTCGAAAAGGAGCTGCGAGCCCTCCAAGTACCCAGTTCTTGCTCTGTGGTCTAATTGTTGTCCCCCCTTCTCTCTAGATGTGTGGAGGTGTGGTCAAAGCAGGCCTGGAGGCTGGCCATCATGTGCCTCTCCTGCAGACCCCCTCCCAGAGACGACCTCGGGAGCCAGACGATGGTAAGAAAACGGTCTGTTATGTGCTCAGCACTATGCCTGGACATGCTAAATGCTGGGTTTAATGATTCAATACCTCTCCAGACTCCCTTGAAGGCCTGCCTCGTTCAGCCTGCAAACGGCCCAAACTGGATGTTACTCTGGACGAGTGGGACCTCTCCGGCCTGCCCTGGTGGTTTCTGGGTAATCTCCGTAGTAACTACAGCCGCAGGAGCAATGGCTCCACAGACATCCACACAAACCAAGTAAGAAATACATGATTTATTAGATTAAAAGCACCTAGCAGACTTTAATGCTTGTTGGAAAATGGCATGAATTGGAATGTAACAGTGTTGGTCTGACTGATGTGTCAGCTGTCTCCTGCACAGGAGGAGGACACAGCCATCGTGTCAGACACCACAGACGACCTCTGGTTCCTGAATGAGGCTGAGAGTGAACAGGTGAGCGTGGAGATGAAAGAGCCTGCCTTTGAGGAAGGGAGTGGAGGAGAAGGGGAAGCTCCACCTGAAGATGATGATGGAGGGGGGAAGGAGTACAAAGCTGATCGAGAGGTAGAAGTTTAAGTCTTAACTGTTGCTATGAGGGCTATTACCGACAATTTAAATTGTTTCAATTGATTATAAGGGGAAAAGATCCTGTTAATCGTCTATAGTCAGCATAAAATTCAGAATATGTTGGTTAAATCTCATTTATTTATCCAGATGCAGGAGGAGCCAGATGAAGACTCGCAATGTTTGAGTGACGACACTGATATAGAGTTCTGCACGCAGGTTTGTATTTTTCCCCTCACACTGAAAGTTCTTAAGTTCTTGTAGTGCAGCGCTTCTCAAACTGTAGGGGTTTCTTTGCATTGCAATGTGACACATTTCCCTTAGTCAGCACTTTAAATTGTGACTGTAATAAGATAATACTTTATTGATCCCAAGAGGGGAAATTCGGGCGTTGCAGCAGCACAAAGAAGTGAAGAAGGTCATACAAAATACAAATTTAAAAGAAGAGATGAGATAAATAAAAATAGGATGTATATACAAGTACAATATAAATGGTGAAGTTGACTATAAAGGGTAATTAAGACATTAAGTGCAGTGAAAGGCAAGATAAAGTGACACGTGATGATTAAAGTGACTTGGTATGATTAATATCAGCAAGTTATGTAAACAGCGGTGAAGAAAAAGCAGAATCGTATCACTGTAATGAAGAGTGACGTTATATACTAAAATGTATTCTAATATAATATAGTGAAATATAATACAATGTAATATAATGAAATGTGATCTAATATAGAATATAGTTTGTTTTCATAGTATGTTTGGACAAACTTCTTTTAGAGTCCTCAAAGATAAAAGCCTAGAAGATATGAATTATGCCAACTAAGCAATACTCAAAAATGTTTCCCTCCTCCAAGGAAGGGAGGGGAGGGGGCATGATGGAAAAAGTTTGGGTCCCAGTGTTGCAGTGGAATGCACAAAGGGTGAATGTGTGATTGGTGTCTTCCTGTCCCACAGGACGCATGGCAGTGCACAGAGTGTAGGAAGTATAACACACCTCTCCAAAAGTACTGTGTACGCTGCTGGGCTCTGCGTAAAAACTGGTACAAAGATGTTCCCCGACTCGCCCATTCCCTTTCAGTTCCTGACATCCCAGCATGCGGCTCCCTCACCACCCATGATGAGGAAGATGACAGCGACACAGGCATCGATGTTCCAGATTGCAGCAGGACGGTGTCTGACCCTGTCATCTTGCCCTCCCACTCCACAGCTGACCGACCTCTGCCCACTATGCTCACTGGAAAGGGCAAGGGGCCGTGGCCCTCCAGCTTCCTTAAGGATGAGCACCTGTCAGGAGGGGAGAGTCAGGAGAACCTTGGCATGGAGGTTGAAGAAGTTAGGCCGGAGGCCCTGTTAGAGCCGTGTAAGCTCTGTCGAGTGCGTCCACGCAATGGAAATATAATACACGGACGTACAGCTCACCTCCTTACCTGTTTTCAATGTGCAAGGAGGCTGCACAAGTTCCAGGCTCCTTGTCCAGGGTGTGGGAAGATCATTCAAAAAGTTATTAAGATATTCATCCTCTAAAAAGCACACATATATCTGCCAGGCTCTAGGGACTAAAACAATAACAAATACAACCTACAATTTCAAAGTCATTCAACAGTACAGCTGCATGGACTTAGGTACACACGCTGCTGGTAGATACACACACAGGAAACATGCACCTTAACCTTGAAGACCTACACAGATACACACAAAGTATAGCACTTGGTGAATCTAGCTTTCGGTTGCATGGTTTATTTTGCATCGCTCTGCCTCAGAAGTATTTTAAGATGACACACAGGAGTTGGTTTAACCAAATGTTTGTTTTGGTGCCACACACGAATAAGGGACACATAAATGCAGAAGTATTTATTTATTTATTAGAAGAAGTCACAGGAGTGCACATGTTTCATGAAGGCTTGATTTTTGTTTTCAGCCAGTGACATTGAGTGGTTTCTCTGTTCACTTTTTTTGAATGGTGCCATTTAAATATTAGCAAAGCTTGCCTTGTATTTGTTTTGTTTAAATGTCCTTCCCTCTAGATTCACTTCAGTCATCATCAGGACAAAAAAGAAAATCAGCAAGCATGTAAGTACAAGAATATTCCTCAAGCATCGCTTAGCCCCCCCCCCCTTTTTCTATATTACCCTTTTTGTTTCCTGGATTGAAGTAATGACAAAGATTGAAGGAAGAACAATTTAAAGTCTTTACATCTTTTTTTGTAATGAGTTGCAGCTCTATAAAAGAACTCTGAGTTTTCTTTTAAACATGTTCTCTCTGCATCAGTGAATGTACTGTCAAATACAAGTGTGGTGGCTTGCGACCTGTTACTCTTTACCTACTATTTTAAAATCTACCATTGAATATAACCTGCTTGGAAATGTGCAGCTGAAGTATTTACTGTCATTTTTGTCCCTCTGAGTATAAATCTAGCATTAATATGTATTCAATATTTACAATTGCCAAGCATCTAATGAGAGTAATGCCTGCAGTAAGTCAAGTCAGCTAACGGGTGGGTCTTGTTTAAATGTCCTCCTGAACGTTTGACACATTCGTGTATTTAATTTATAATTAATTGTTTGAATTGTTTGAATGACCACCTTAAGGCTACATTTGTTACAGAGATTTAATGTTGAAGTTTCAGCTTCTTGTTCTTTTTTTTCAAAGATTTACAAAGTGTTTAAGAAAACAGGCTAATCTACCAAAATGTTCTCTCAATGAAAATGAATGCATAGTACTTATTTAGAGATGAGGGTTTGATTGAAGCGTTACACTGCCATGTAATGACCCTGAATTTTAATTTGTATATTAGAAGTTTATTTTGATGGTTCTGCATTTGAAGATTGTAATGCTGGATTATGTATAGATATAATGTACTTTAGGTTTGTGTGTGAGATTACTACAAATACAGTACACTCTACAGTGTCATGGAGGAACATATCCAGTCAGACTTAACTTAAGGCTCTGTTTGGCGTAGAGAGAATTATTTGATTTGCTCTTTAACTTGTGCTTAATCTTTCTGCCAGCAGATGGAGCCAAGTGTCAATATTGTATCTGGTGCCCAGAGTCTGTACAGTACCAGTATTAAAATGTGATGCATATATAAAGCATGTTCTCTGTCGTGAACACATCCAGCACTGAGCTGATGTGAAGGCAAAAATAGCTACACAAAAGATGAATGTAGCTCATTATATTCATCAACATTGATGTCCATCAGGAGAAACAAAAAATGTCCAGAAACAGGCCTTGTGCAAATGACTTCATCTACTAACACTGCTACTGTTTCAAAATGATTTAAGTCGTTGCAATGATTGACATTGGAACTATAATGTACTGAAACATGGTACATCTATTAAAGTTGTTTTTTTTCTACGTGTCATGGATTATAAGAAGTTCTTGAAGTTCTCTGAAAACATGGCTGAAGCAGAAAGTGTGCGTGCGTGCGTGCTCGTGTCTGCATTATTTTTGTCCTCATCCAGAAGTGGGACGGACACCACCCTCCTCAGTTTATGTGGTTGTATCACTGCTGCTATCTTGTGCAGAAATAATGCAGCTATGTTTCCCCCAGGGTGTTTTTAAGATAATGACAACTCATTCGGGAATATTCCTGGAGTGGGCAAAGTCCCTGTCAACTTCTCTACCGTCTTAAACCATTCAAGCATCTTGAACAGCTCGGACAGACATTTACATAATGTAAGAAAAACAATTTAACAAATGGGAGCCAAAGTGTTTCAAAAGTTTGTGGAAGTATCAGTTTAAATCAAAGTGTTTACAGAGGGCATTTGTAAAAACAATCTAGCTAGCACCCCTGTTGGATGAGATTTGAGATCCTTTAAGTTAAGTACAGATAAGAGCCCATTACAAATGTCAACTCAGATGGATACCCATAAAAAAAAGATTCAGCTTTGATTACACTTTCTGTGAAGTTCTATCAACAGTTATTATTGGGTTTTATAAGAGTCTTTTTAAACACCCCTAGATGTAATTCCTTAACTCGGGTGGACCCTGTCAAATTGGAGGAAACAAACGAAGTACTTAAGAACAGTAAATCTACTTAAAAATGGTACCTGGAGCGCATTTTTAATTACACTGTTGACAAATATGACAGTCAAGGCAACATGATTCTTCTATTTAAGTTAGCCCAATAAAGGGCATATTAATGGAATCAAGGAGTTGAAAGACGGTGGACTTATAACACGTGTGTATAAAGGGTTTTATCAAGTAGCCACTTGATGCCTTATCCTGACCGTGTGTCCCTCTCGGAACAAAAACTGCCTTTTCAACTTTTTCTCCCCTTCAACCAGGAACTGTGTTTGAATGACTTTTAGTTCATCATAAACATGTGTGATGCTCTCTTGATGTTCAAGAGATGTGTACAGTACTTGAGCTGTTCTTGTCATGTCATGCTGTTGGAATAAATGAAACTCTTTCTGATTACACTGTGTGGAATTTTTATTAATAGATATTTAGAAACAAGTCAAATGTCACATTGTGTGCAGTCTCATTTGGTGTCTGGATCGATTCCAGTTGGGTCTAAAGAGGAAAACAAAATAAGAATATTAACATCATAACCACATCCACTACAGGAACAAGTGCAGGGGGAAGATATATTTTTTGTGGTATGAAGCCTTGAAACGTCACCTTGAGCTGCAGGTTGAATGTCTTGAGGAACTGGATCTGTTCCATGTGCTTCCCTTTTTCAATCTGTCGCCTTTGAGTTTTTTGTTGCTCAATGGCTTCGACTTTGTTGATTTCCTTCTTCAGCTCCAGTTTCTCATCTTCAAGATCAGTAATCTAGGTGTTTGAAGTTTATTAAAATGCAGGATCAGTGATGTTAAGACCAAACATTATTTTAGAGGAATGCTGCCCTCTGCTGGATACTAAACCGAATAGCATTCAATAGTTATTCCTTCAGTGACAAATACTGTATATTCTCTATCGATGGGTGCCAATATTGGCAAACACTCCACATTTGTATGCTATCTATTGTTGCTAAACACAACTAAAAAGTGAATGTCCTTACTTTTTTCTCCACGTCAACCTTTTCCAGCTCTGACTGAAGGGCTTTCCTCATAGAAAAGGCCACATTGCTTTCATACAGAGTCTGGTAGGCAGCAATATTCATTTGAATCTCATCTCTGACCCGCAAGAGCTGCAGGCCCCTCTCAGCACAGTTGATGGTCACCTGTCTGATGAGCTCATCTTAAAGAAACAGAAAATGAGTAAATGCAACAGTAACATATTTGAGGAGTAAAATGTGCTTTCAGTGGTATACAAAATGCTTCAGAAGAAAGCTGTATGGCAATGAAATTTAAGCCATGTGTACACAAAAAACTGGTTCAAATTCTTATTCTTTGATCCTCAATCCTTGTCAACACAATAGCCTCAGTGATCACAAATATCAGAGCCTCCTTCTCACCAAAGCACTGAGAATAGAGCTCCCTGCGGACAGGGCAGATTGCTGTCTGTCTGGCCTGCCTTTGTTGCAGCTTTGTGTCCAGCAGCTCCCCTAGGTGAATAACATCTGTTCTTGTAGAAGGTGCACTGGACACTTGCTGCACCCACAGCCGGGTTCCGTCAGTCCATTCCCTGCAATAACAGAAGTTTAGATAAACTGAGTGGATTGAACTTAATGAATGACACACTGTAGATGGATGCAACTGTACCTGGGTGGAAGGATGGCGTTTAGGATCTCCTGCTTGGTGGTGTCAGTAGAGGTGGGTTTTGATTTTGGAGGTGGTGGAACAGGGGTAGACTGTCCCCTCACCTGCTGTGGACCCACTTTTAAAGGGCGCCCCTGTTGTGAAAAGTATTTCATGTTACACAATGAATCAACTTTCTTTGCCTGAAATACATGATACAGTATATCCATCATCATTTAATAACTTTTAAGAGCTTTGGGGATTGAAAGATGTTGGTAAAAAACATAGAAACAGCAGCCATTATAGCAGGAATATCTGTACGGTCAAAACTATTTCCGCCATCATGCCTAACTTTGACCACTAAACGTCGGCTAAACTCGGCTGGCGTTACTAAACTCACCTTTGGTGACTTTCTGTCAGTGTTTGCCCTGATCAAAACTGGATGATCGTATTTGAGGAGAGATTCGGCTGGTGGATTCATCTTTTTCCTTCTGATAATTAAATAAAAGCAGAAACTCCTTTGTCTGTGATTCAGCTACAGTCGCTGCTGTTTCGAAGGATGCTATTCTTGCTCACTTTTTGTGTTGTCATAGCAACAGCGTCCCAGCGTTGCTTTTCAGTTTGATCGTCTGAATCAGTGGGTTAGATTAATATTTAGTAAGTGGGTTTGTATCTTTTTTTTTTGTCAATGCGCCACACATGCATGCTTGTCAGCTCATTTTTCGAGTATTATGTTGCATCGTTTATTTTTTGGTATAATAATATTATTAAAAAAAAAAAGCAATACAAAAGACGACAGCTAATGGCAATGCGAATGTTCGCTTTTTTATTATTATATAACATTATTAAACTTTTGTTAAAAAAAAAAAAATTGTAATTTGTTCTCAAGTAATGTAGTAGTAGTAGTTGTCATGTGTCTCTACTTCTTGACTGGACCTGCAACAGTCCAAAAACGTCTAAATTATTTTATTTGCAGTATTATTCATTTTACCAGAAGATCTGAATTCCCACATTTTGAGAGACTGACTGATATTATTGCATTCAACAACTTATCAGGATACCAATAACAAAAAAAGAAGAGGATTCAGCTTTGATTTCACTTTCTGTGAAGTTCTATCAACAGTTATTATTGGGTTTTATAAGAGTCTTTTTAAACACCCCTAGATGTAATTCCTTAACTCGGGTGAACCCTGTCAAATTGGAGGAAACAAACGAAGTACTTAAGAACAGTAAATCTACTTAAAAATGGTACCTGGAGCGCATTTTTAATTACACTATTGACAAATATGACAGAGTATGTAGGTGTTGCTGTTGCCCCTGTGCTTTACACTACGGTACTTAAAGCTCCTAACAGCCATACTAAAATGCTTTCACTCGCTCCGTTTCTAATTCAAGAACTGCTTTGTCCGTGGCGTCTGGCACGTCACACAGCGTGGAGACGAAGAATGGCATAACACCCCCTGTGACATGGCTCCAACAGTTTGGCAGCTCGAGAATGGCGCAGCCCAGGGAGTGGTAGGGGATCTACATGTTTCCATGGCGACAGTTCTTCCATCCTAACATCCCAGAATAACTTTAACACATTCTCCCTCTTTCCCCCTATGGCGTATGCAATACTTCCTGGTGTGTAAAATAGTTTGGATGGTAGCGCTGTGTTGAACATTGCTTACATATTTTTGTAAAATTTCTTCATCGCTGCTGCGTACTCTGCTCAGTTTTTTTTGTTCATGTACTTCTGAAGCACCTTTTATAAATACACAAAGTATCTGTGTGTCCTTCCTCTGCCTGCCTCAAGGATGGCAAGTCTCAGCTTGTTTACCCTCTGTTGCTTTCTTCTGGTAGTGTGTCTGGATATTTGCAACTGTATCTCTGTGGCTGGGACCTTCCCTTCTCACCTCTTACACACACACACGCACACACGCACGCACACACGCACGCACACACGCACACACACACACACACACACACACACACACACACACACACACACACACTTTCCCTCTGTTGTGTCCCGACTATTTGGTCGCTCCAGAAACCCGTCCGCTAAATTTGTCCCACGTGGTGACATGGGAGAAGGTCAGAGGAGCCAGAGAAAAACAAAGATAGTAATACAGTTGAAGGGATAAAGGCAGAGAGAATTTAAAAGTAGAAATAGAGAGAAACAGGCGATTATATAATAAGACATTTAATGAGATTGTTTCTTCTTGTAACCCTCGCAGGAGGCTCACATGGAAGATGATCTTGACAATCTGGGTTGACAGTGATCATGGCACAGCTTCCACATAGCCATCCTCTCAGATCTCACAACACACTCCAGTTATACTGACCACAGGAAGGATTTGATTGTGCAACATAAAGGTGTAAATTGCCTCCAAGTTAAAACAGGATATATTTTATGAGGTCTCAGCTTTGTTCTGTCAGAAACCCCTCGGATAAACTTAAGTACAACTCTTTAAAAAGATGGAGGCCATTTATTTAATGACCTGTGGCACCTTCTTTGAGTTCTCATAAACCCTGTGGCATTAGTGGAATATATGCCACATCAGTAGTCTGGTTGTTTCCAGCAGCAGAGACATGATTATTTACAATAACTTTAGGGCGACCATGTGCTGCAGAGCATGTTATTGGGAAGTGGGTTATGTATGTAGGTATGAGTATGTATGGTTGTTTGTCCATGTGTGCCGGAGTGTCTCAGTGAGTGGGATGCCAGGGTAGGGAAGGGCAGCGGATGGCTCAGGGGCTCAGTCCATTCCTTCGATTTAACATGACACCACTTGCACTAAGACGGCAACAGCTGCATATGCACATGCCGACCATTCTGTTTGTTGTAGGGGATTACTCTGCAATAAAAGCCCCAGTGAGCAGCAGCGTGGCTGGGCTACAGAACTACTGTTTCCTCCTCTGACTTCGAGAGCCTACTTCAGGCCTCCAGAGCCTTGTGAAAACACAGGTGGGGGCACTTCATTCTGAACAGGAATGAATGGAAGTATTCTCCCTTGATAGGCTGGGTCGTAGTAGTGTCACATCACCTCCAGACATCAGTCAAATTGTACATCACTGTGGCTTATGTAAGGGTTATTACTCAACAGAAATAGTGGAGTGTAGCAGACGAGTAAGCAGATCTGACGGCTCCTTTCATGTGCTTCAGAGTAATTAGATGATCGATTTCATTGTGCATGGATTGACATCTTTCATTATTCATGTTGTGGTTTCAGTGTAAAATCATAACATGAGAGGAGACAGCTCTGCTTTGTGCAATGTGAACAATTGATAAAGCAGCTCAGTAATAGACATGCAGTTATCATGGCGACAGTAAGTACACAAGTCTCTGAGGAGACACAGTCTTGCATCTGTTGCTGTCACTAAGGTGATAATGTCCTTTTCCTAAAAGCACTCGGCCAGTACATAATCAAGTTGTATCAAAGATTCCAGTCTTTGAACAGAAAAATGCAAACCAGGAAAAAAATAATCACTCCAGTTTGAACACTGAATTGAAACACATCACCCTTACTTATTGCTCAGAATTCTAAAGGCCTAATTTAACTTACCTGCTTTGTTGGAGATTGAAAAGTTGTTGAAAGATGTTTGTTGGCGGGATATTTCATGATGTCACTGAGTTGTACCATGTTAAAGTTAAGAAATTAAATGATCTTAAAGTTCATTTAAAGGTATAATAATACACTTTCTTTGATCCTACAAGTGTGTGAATATGAACTGGCCTATGACCTTTTTTATTGAGTTTAGAGATGTTCTGATACCATTTGTTGCACCATACTGAATATAATACGTGTGACTAATATGTATCTGACATGAGCAGGATTAAGAAAAGCATATATTTGATATCTTTGTAAATATCAAACATCACACTTTGCACTGCACTGTTTGTTAAAACCCTCCAACAATAATCCCCTTTAATGTTGACCTTTAAGGAGGAACCAATAGATTGTTGTATTAGTTCATTGCACTGACTGGTGGACTCACTGGTACCTGAAGGTGCTTTTATAGCTGAACTGATACTGATACTGGCTTTGTTTTCAGAACAGCTGCAGCTGAGTTGTGTACTTGAATTATTTCAATTGTTTCTAACAATGCTCAATCCCAGAGAAATCTACCACCTGTGTTCAAGGTTATTCTTCCAAGTAGACTGGGGAAACACCAGATGATGTTGAGTCAGAGACTGAGAAAGGAAGTCAGTGAACTGTGAAAAATAATGTTGATTTGGGCTATTTCATTAGCATGAAACGACTTATTAGGTACTGACTAACAGTAACAGGAATGATACATTACCATCCATCAACAGGAATTCTGCCTGATTCAATTTATATTTTCATCTAGGTGGTGGTAATTTAAATGTAGGTTATGCAATTTATTAGAGAAGCATATTTTGTACTACTTTTTAAAATCTGTAACCTTTATCAATAGAGATCAATAAATCTAACGCTTTGGAGAGAGAAATCCAGAATCTGGGGCGGTCAAATGCGTGTCATAGAGACAGAGCGGCAGATCACTCAGTAAATCAATGAATCCTGCTGGCAGGATATGCATTACAATATGCATCAAACACGTGAATCTTAAGAAAATGACTGTAGCTAACCCGTCAAAGTAATAAATCAGGGATGTCAGCCTGAGAGCGGACATACTGGCACAATATTCACAGTGTGTCCCAGTTTCCCATCTCTCCTTCCCTTGTTTTTCTTGAAGATGTAATCAAACTGAATAGCAAAGACAATTGAAGATATAACTAGTTGGATAAGGTAAATGATAAGTATGTGCTCAGTTCCTCCTAATGCCCTTTGAGGAGACGGAGCTTGTTTATCTGTCAGAGACTGAATCCCACCAAAATCTAGCAAAGCTTTTCACATTTCACAATAGTTGTCCTTGTAAGCTTGAAAAAATAGGAAGACTATTCCTATTAACCAACACTTTCCCACCACCTCACCATACTACACACTTTAGTTATGTGCTGATTGCCTAAGGCCTACCTGCAATGTGTTTCAGGTGTGACACTTATATGGCCATAATGAAGTCAGAATGAATCATTTGCAAGAAAAGACCCGATGTCAATATTTTGTTAAAATATTCAACACAAAGGAACCTGGAAAGGACTGTGTATTTTAAGGAGAAATGACGTATTGCATTCATGTGGGAAATTTTTTTTTGCCTGTTTTTTTGTTATTATGAGATCTTTATCTTGTAATGACGAGCTCTTTATCTCGTTATAACGAGAAAATATGTCGTTATTATGAGAAAATATGTCGTTATTACGAGAAAATATGTCGTTATTACGAGATAAAGATCTCGTTATTACAAGACAAAGATCTTGTTATAACAAGAAAAGACACACATTAGACTAAAAAGATACTAGAGGGTTAATGAAGTTTGCATTGTGGCAGGCAGAGGAGGGAGGAAGATCAAAAGGCAACGATGACCAGGATTATTGATTTGATTGTGTTTTATTTTCATCTTGGTTTAAGGCATTGGGAAATATTATCATCTTTGAGTAATACAGATGGTATTCTCATGAGCTTGTCGACTTAGCACAGGCATCTGAAGGCGTTAAGGGTGTTCAGACGGAAAGCAAAGCACACTCTGACCTACTTGACATAGCGTTATTCTTCCAGGATCAGTTAAATAGATATGGTATGCTTCACCGATATAAAGTCATGCATCTGAATTGCATTCAAGCTGGCTACGTGGTGTCTCAAGATACGCTTAGGCATTTACTGAAAATACTTGAAAAACAACCCCATGAAAAACAACTGCGGCGCCGAAATCGCCTGCTACAGTGTTTATACTGAAATGTTGTAATGAGCTGCCACTGGTGTACTGTACACTCCCATAAACAAACCCACGCCTCCTCATCGCCACCACCCTCATGCTTTTCTTGTTATTACGAGATATTTTTCTTGTTATAACGAGATTTTTATCTCGTAATAACAAGAATTCCCCACATGAATGCAATACACTTCCGTACATTTCGGTATAAATAAGGTTTCAGATGAAACCGACTGGTGCTGGATTAAATACAGTTTTGAACACTATTCCAGCATTTATGATTGTAGCTTTGAGAAAATGTTCTGTATCTTAATGGAAAAAGAATATTACTCCACATTTATAACTATCCTAAAACATTAATTTCCCTGTAAATTAAAGACCTTACAGGAAAGACACCCTTGTTCGTCTGACTTTAATCGACACTCTGTCACTGTTGTTATTTTATTCTCCTCTTACATATCCCAGATTTCCCGGCTACGCTCAGATGACAGTTCTCCAGGTCAGTGATGATCTTGAGGCTAACCTGGGGTGAGGAGGACTGATCCCCCTTCCCCTCCTCCCCACTGCTCAGCTGTCCCACAATGTGCTGCTGCTTGTCACTGAGGAGAAGTAGAACACTGTTACCAATGACAGGACAATCCTAGCTACACACACACACACACACACACACACACACACACACACACACACACACACACACACACACACACAGAGCCATTCACACTGCATATTTAAATTATTTATCTAAAGAATTCATTTTTATACTCAAGTAAATAATTTGGTTTCTTCTGCAAACAGAACTATATTAATCTTTACTTGATTTAATTTAATTTTACAAAAATATCAAATGGGAATTTCAAAACATATTCAATGTTGTGTCTTCAGTGGGTAATCAAGGACACAGCTTACATATTCGTCCCAAAAAAGATAAGGATGGATGAAATCTGGTCACAAACCCTAAATGTGTCTTGATTTAATGTTTCAATCTGATCTGTATAAAAAACACAATGTGTTGTTGTTTAGACTCTTTAATAAGTTAAATCTAAGTGAATTTAGGATGGATGACACAGCATAAACAGTTCCTCCACACAGAACTTGTTTACTACAACTAAAGTGTTCAAAATGCTGAGCTGGGACGTGTTCCTCAAATGAGACACAAGTGTGCCTTAAATTGCTTAAACACACACACACAGTTCTCCAGTTCTGCTGACAATGGGTTAAGATGACAGAGGGTTATGAGTGACTCTGACACACTGCAGACCCCCTCCCCTGCAGTATCCCCGAGAGCAACACAGGCGTCTTTGTACTCGCTCTACCATCAGTGACGATCCATCACAGACTAACCTGACAGCCCACCGCAGCCCTCTGCCAAGCCTGGACTCTGCACTCTGCCTCAACCACAAACCTGTGCCCAGGACTGGACCACAGTCCCCCCGCCTGACCACTACCCTGCCCCCTATTCAGAGAGCTGGATCTTGATTTTATATATTTATTTTATAACAGGTTAATAACACAAACTAGGCACCTGTTTTGCTTGTTCTCAAATAGGCTAGAAGGAGCGCTACCTCACAAAGCACTAATTAAGAGACTCTTTAAGATATGAGAGCTCATAATGAGGCCTTTCTCACGATAGACATTTAAACTTGTAATAGCCACAAAAGCACAGGTGTAATTCATTACAATAATTACAGCTTCAAACCCTTGAGGTGTGCCAGGAAACTTTTCTATTAAGCCATTGTGTACTACAGCCCAACTTTGTTACTGACACACTCAAATGAAAGGTACCCCTAATGAGTGAAATTAATTACACCTGGGCTCATTCTAATCAAATATCCCCCCCCCCAAGTCATGCTTATATACTGCTGGAAAGAAAATGTGCTTTGAGTGTTCAATAAGTAGCCCAAGATACTCTAACAATAGCTCACTAGTTTTTATTTCGAGGCATTGCTGATCTATCGCCATGCTATGAAATTTTGACTTCTAAAATAGTTGGTTATGGAAATGCTGGAAATCAGCTGGTAAACCATTAATGAAATGAAGAGTAGGAGTGAAGGGGTAACTTATTAGACCATTTTATATTCATTTAATGAACTGATACCAGGTTTAAAAAAGAAGATCCTCATACTCTGTTTGAGTGTTCGAAGCTATTTTCTGCCTCTTCTAATGAAGTTTACTTCTGTCTGGGCCCAAATCGAGTAGTACAACATAACACCACCATCCCCCCACCACCCCCCATAGTATCCACTCCTTATGTCAGATATAAAGTAAAGAGTAAAATAACAATACAATTTCTTTTTTTTTTTATTATTATTTTTATTATTTTTACCATTTCTTCTTTCAATGAGAAATCAAGAGAAGAGAACCTGTGATAGGTGTCCAAGACTTAGCACGATGTTAATAGCAATGATATGCACCAGACAACATTATGTCCATGTACTTAGCCTATGTTACAACATCTAGTACCCCTTTAAAGGCTTTATGTGATGTTTTGATCCAGCAGATGTCGCCCTTGAGCACCAGCATGAAACCAAAACAGCTTGCGCTGCATTGTTGTGTTAGCATGCTAATGCTAGTGATCTTTATTATGCTCGTATCTTCACACTGCATGTAAATTTACCTGAAATGAGCGTGATCTAGAAACACAGTTAAGCAGTGAGTACAGTATGTTATTCTTCTTTTCTCTAGTCCCTCAATTAAACAACTTTTATACGTGAGGGGAGGAGTCAGTCGGCCGTCCGGGCGATGTAAACAAAGTGAAGATAGGACTCTGAAAACTCTGAAAACATCACAGACAGTGGGACTCGGGTGTTACACCCATTGTAGACAGTCATGACTCACAGAGTTATTTTCAGAGGATATCCTTGATTTCTATTACATTTAAGTGTGAAAAATCACATAGAAAGCCTTTAATGTAAAACAAAAACGTAAATAATATTGTTGGACAAATACTGATTGCTGGCATTTTGCTAGCAAAAATTTGCTAACATTTTCTGCTAGCACCGCACTGTTCTTGTTATCAACACATCCTAATTAACTGACACAAGTTGTTTTTTTTTAAGGGGAAGGCTGATTGGTTATGACACCAGATATTGGAATCAGTGTCAAACCTCTAGTATTTTGCAGTGCATCCAAAAATCTGTGCTAGACTCCATTGAACAATCCCTGCAGATATGTACATCATAACTGATAAAACCAGAGTCTATGGAGAAATCTATGGAGATGATGTGATAGGATACACAGTCATGTAAATCACCCCGCACTATGCCAGTTATTCCAGGCCGCTTCTCTGATGACAGAGTTGTGTGTTTTGGCCGTTCACCCATGCTAGCGGAAGCCAGTCCAAATTAGCGGGTGAGCTATGAGGTGAATCATGTCCTGGAAGGATTTACACTCGGGCAGTGAGGCTAATTCTATGACGGACTGGAAGAGGTCAGGACAGCGAAGGCCATACCTCTGAGTGTTTGTCTGATTATTGTCCCTCTGACTTAAGAGCGTAACAGTAGCCAATGTCAACCTGTTCTCTCCTCTGTCCATTCCTGCACAGACATGTCTCAACATCAGTGGTGTTCACAAGGTCACTTGCATCCCAATGTGCAATCACCTCAGGAGGAAAAGTCAGTCGATGTGAATGTGGTTATGTAAAACCGAGACCTGACAGTAGGGTAAGGTTTTATGTCCCTGAAGCTTTTACATAATAGCATCAATCTAGTTTAAATCATTCTGAAAACTCAGTCACAGAGTGTTTATCTGTGACCTAGTTTTGAGAAAACAATCTCCATCCTCATTTTCTTCACATCTACAACCAGTAAAACAAATACTTGTCATTGCATATCATTGGTTCCTATGTAGAAGTGACAGCTGTCTACAGACTACACCCCTCCACCCCACCCCCAATTGCAGGGGCATTCATGTATGGTGTCATGGATGGAGACGCGAGTCTGGGATTAGCTCATTAAGACAGACATCTTTGATCCGAAGTTATCTCTCCCTTTTCCACAGCAACTTGATCATATCCTGGCCTCTTAAACGCACGGACCCACACAAGGGCAAACACACACACAACGGGTCTTAAAGCCCCTAGAGAGCAGGGCCCAACAAAGATGTGAAGTGTAGATGTGCAGCAACAGCTAAACGTCGTGTCAGGTTTCTGGGGGCTCGTGCTAAATTTAACCCTGTGATCCTGCAGCAGGCAAAGGGGTTTAAATGCCAGCCTACAGTTGCTCCACACCAGTTGTTCTCCACACGTCTTCCACTCATCACAAACTTAGAGCTGTGGATGAAGAGAGGCACACAAACGTACACTCAGACACTCACACTCCAAGCACAGGACTGAAGACAACATACAGTAGCACAAGTTCCACGGGAGGCCGGAATTTTTTGTCCCTTTTTAAGATCACTTGTTGTCCAGGATGGAGCTTTTTGAGACCAACCCTTACTTCTTCCCTGACCAGCGCTTCTACGAGGGAGGGGACAGCTACTTCCCCTCTCGCCTGCCTGGGGGGTACGACCAAGGTGCCTACCAGGATAGAAACTCCATGATGGGCCTGTGTGGGGGTCTGTCTGGGGGCGTTGGAGTCGGGATGACAGGGACAGAGGACAAAGTGTCTCCGTCCAGCATGTCGCCTCACTCCGAGCCTCACTGCCCGGGTCAGTGCCTGCCCTGGGCCTGCAAGCTGTGCAAAAGGAAGACGGTGACCATGGACCGCCGGCGAGCGGCCACTCTTCGGGAGAAGAGGCGTCTGAAGAAGGTGAACGAGGCTTTCGATGCCCTGAAGAGAAGCACCTTGATGAACCCAAACCAGAGGCTGCCTAAGGTGGAGATCTTGAGGAGCGCCATCCAGTATATCGAGAGGCTGCAAGCCCTCGTGTCCTCCCTCAACCAGCAGGACAATGAGACAGGACAACAAGGACTGCACTACAGACCCAGTGGGGCCCAGCCCAGAGTGAGTAGGAGAGAAGGGATGATTGGGAAAAAAGAGCCAAACAAAAGGCACTGACAGGTGGACATAGGCAATGTCAAAACAAAGATACAATTTAATGTAGATAAAGAGAGTCATGAAGGATGACAGCTGGAAAAATGGAGGTAACTATAGGTGACTTTTCCAATCTTAAATCTGCCTCAGATTTGACGACTGTGTTTAAAATATGAGGTTCCAATTGGGAAAACAATGTTGTATCAAACCTTATATTCAGGCTAAGGACATAACATTTCTTTAAAATAACATAAAAAGGTTTGTACGATTATAAACTTGTTTTCAGTCGCGCTGTGTCAGAACCTTGAAAGCTTTGGCTAATTTGTAGTTTGAGTTTGACAGCATCAACAAACTGAAGAAACAGGTGTGAAAACAGACTCGTTCTCCAGAAATTGATGACAACTTTTACCGTCAATTACTTATAATTTCTATATGTTTAACTGTATTTTATTGGGAACAGTCCAGTTTGACTTGTTGAGATGGGGTTTCTGATGGGTCACAGGATGCTATGGTAATTGTATGTGCATGTGTGTGTGGCATTACACAGCACTGCAGTGTGTGCTCTTTTTCTGAGCGGCAGGTTGTGCCGTGTCATAGCACACAGTGACTGACAGCAACTTGTGTGCATCTCCATGGTAACAGGTGTCGTCGTCAAGTGAACCCAGTTCAGGCAGCACCTGCTGCAGCAGCCCCGAGTGGAGCAGCACTCCGGAGCAGTGCACACAGAGCTACGGCAGCGAGGGTGAGTACACTTCACACACAGTATCATTAGACAGCAGAGGCAGATCAGTGAAGCCTCAGTCTGATACTTAACGTGTGCTTCGGGTCTCTTTACAGATCTCCTGAGTGCTGCAGACTCTCCAGAGCACGGGAACATGCAGGCTCTGAGCTCCATTGTAGACAGCATCTCTGCAGCAGACGGAGCTGTGGCTTTTCCTATGGACATTCCCAAATAGACCCTCCACTCAGCAGACCCATGGGTGCAGAAAATAGGAAAATGACTTATTGGCAAAGCAGGCTGAAGAACAGTCCAAAATTCCAATTTAATTTATTTATTTCCAACTCTACTGGTCTGTCTTATGCTCAAATTTAACAGTAGGGATTAATTTAAATTGTCACTCTGTTGAAAATGGGTCTGCTAGCTAAACTGAATTCCTCCGTTTCACAGTGAGGCCTTATTCCCTTTATTCCTTGCCTTATCCCACGGTCCAGACCAGTCTGTCACAGCCACAGGAGCTTAGTCTAACCAAAGATTAAAAGACTTTGCTGCATAAACCTAAAACCTAGTTCCTAAAGGGGACCTCTGTAAGTCTGTTCTCGAGGCTGATTGAACCACAGAGGAGTGTTTAGGTCAATCTTTCTCTTTTCTTAATTTAAGTTTTTCCTCCTTTTTAAACCTTCCCTGATCTTTCATTCTTTTTGTGTGTGTTTTTAATGCTTAAAAAACATGAGTTTATTTGTGGGGCCAATATGTACCATGGCGGTTTTGACCAAGATCTGCTTAATTTAAACATGTTATGAATGCTATTGATGTAAATACGTTCCCTTTTTCTACAGAGTGGTTTTTCCATTTTATTTTTTATTTTTTGCTAACTTATTTTTGACTTTTATAACTACGATTGTTGTGTATTTGTAGATGTTTCAGAAATTGAAATTTTCTCTCCAATTCTTGCAATAAAGACCATTTTCAATACATTTTTTTGTCAGCGTCCCTGACTACCAATACTTCAATCTCCATAAACAGATATCTGCATATAAATGTGGAATCTGTAGACTTTTTATATCTAAAGGAACACAAGATCCAAATCTTTAAAAAAAACTTTACTTATGTCTATATAGTGTCATAAATACAGTTCACTTTTTAAATAGCCAAATAATAAAATCTTGATTTGTCAGCATTGTTTCACACCTGGAATAAAGACACAGTACTCATAGCTGCCACATAGCACATTACACCTTTTAGACACCTTGGAAAAATTGTCAAATAAAATAACCAAACAAAAAAGTTGGATAGTACACCACCCATCCAGCACGTCACTGGCTCTTTACTGTGTTCTCATTGGATGAGGAGTTGGTCTGCCAAGAGGACCGACTGCTAACTGGCTCGTCTCAATGGCAACTAAAAGGAAGGTGGTGGAGCAGGTCTAGTCGAGTCCATCACTCTGAGCAGTTTTGAGTGTTTATCATTGGCGGATGTTGAGCAGCAGTTTACAGTTTGATTTCAGAGAAAGAAAGGAATCAACAGAGAGGAGCTACAGTGTTCACACTACCCATCCACAGGGAAAAGTCATGGTCACATGGTCGGGGTTGGCCTTTCACACTCGACATACACGCACACACACACAAACTCACTCTTCATATTAAAGGATTCTCTCTATTCTAGGCTACATAGTGTCATACTGAAGGCGAGAGAGGCGCAGAAAGGAGAGGTAACAGCTACATAGTGTCAAAAGAGAATGAGGAGATGAGGGATAAAGGAAAGAAAGAGGAGAAGAGGCAAAGAGAGAAATCTGAAATTGGACCCATGAACCTGTGAAGAGTCCTTGTAGAAACGCACCTCCTCCCACTAACAAGTCACACACGGCATACAGCAAAAGACACACAAAGGTCCGACACGGAGAGAAAGAGAAAGAAAGAGAAAGAGAGAGAGAGAGAGAGAACAGTCACTATCGAATACAGGGCATTGGGTTTCATACAGCAATGATATTATATTATTTCCATATATATTTCCAATATATATATATATAATATTTCTATAAAAAACATAAGTCATCCATTTTATGTACAGAGACGATTAATGAGTAATACCTTGCATAACCGGTAGAGGGGCATGTGCAGTGGGGTCTGCCATTTATACAAGTATTCATCATTCCCAAGTCCAAATCAACGACCTGTTAACACCCTTTTTAGTCTGTTTTACACTAACCAACTCTTGTGTTGTTTTAGAGGGGATAACATCCAATTATTGGTTTGGACTTGGCCATGTTGAGAGATCAGAACCAGGTCAAGGACCCACAGCTGAGACCAGGGGAGCAGGAGCACAACACCACAACAACAAGGCTACTAGGAGCACTGGGGGTAAACTGGGAGAGACAGGGACGAGTCTCCTTTAGAGCAGCTAGCGCAGCCGATGAACACTCTCAAAAGAGTTCAAAGGTCAGAGTTGGCCTCTGTATTGCACATGTCCGAAAGAGAGGTGAGAGGTGAACGGTGAGAGGTAAGGCTGGGCAGCAAAAGGGGTGAACATCACCCCCACCCAGTGGCACCCAGGACTTCCTCTCCAGTTTTGGCATATCACTCTCAAAAGGCCGCAAGCATATGTCCGTATAGGTAATGAGAATGCACTGGAAGAGAGACGAGAGGGGAGAAAAGAAAGACAAGGAGTAAGAAAATTATTTTCAAAAACTATATTATAATATATTCCACCATACAAAATAGGAAAAACCCTAAGTACCTGCTTGAAATAGAATTAAATAGATTAAACCATTGTAAATGCACAAATCAATATGATTTTTTGAAGGGTGCCCTTCAAAGAATGGTGTAATTAATAAACCAAAAAAGATATAGAAATACTTAATCCTCTTTGACCAAATCATTATTATCATCAAAAATGAAGTAGTTTTACTTAATGCATCCAAATGAAATGACTGGTCAAAGGGCAAGGCTGTTTTTTTTCTGTTATATTAGTTTTCATCAATTTCCATGGAAATACCCAAAATGATAACGACTCAATCAGGAGAAAAACAGGCATTTGTTGTTGTTTGCTCTTGTAGATTTAGACACATTCTGTGCCTTCACAGGTGTAGGAGAGTAAATGTAATATATTCAAAATCATTTACCGAAGTTCCTAGGCTTCTTTTGAAGGAGGATCATGTCACGCAGAGCAATGATTTGACTTATTTGTGTGTTGTTTTAATAACTTGTAGGCAAGTGTTGGGTGACAGGTCAATTATCTGTATTAAGTTTTGCACACAGACATTTGGATTGCTTGATTGTTATTTTTGGTCTTTTCCTGAGATTTCATGTCAATAGCTAAATTAATATACCTTTTTCTAAAGTGAAAGTGCAGCATTGACCCATTAGCACCTCATGAAATTGTCATGGCTAACAAAAAGGCTTATGACAGCCTGATAAACATAAAAGTAGATTATCTGTTAAGTTAGTTATTACTGTCAAATGCCACACAGCTGGAAATGCTGGTTCAAAGCACACTAAAGTGTAAGTTCAGCAGTTTCAGGTGGTGTTTTATTGGCTTACCTGTTAGCATTAGCGCTCCTGTTAGTATGCAGAGAGAAGTTAGCATGAATAGGTCCGGACGGCCGAGGGGTCTAGTCTCGTGGGCGCCGGGGGAGGAGCTTGAGAGGTTTAGGCACAGCAGGAACAGATAGGACAGAGCATGCAGTTAGTCATGACAAGCAGAGAGAAGCAAATAAAGACACACAGAACAAGGCTGCGGTTGAGGCACACTAATGTTACACACCTTCAGGCTGGAGCTGTTTCTTGGGCATCAGATTCACAGAGGGCGGCATGGACATGGAGGGCATGCGGAAGCCAGCAGGCAGTGTTTCCATGGAACCCGCCATCATGCCCAGCCCTGCCCCTCCCTCACGCGCTCTAAACCTCTTCCGCCATGATGGAGAGCGTCGAAAAGACTTGTCATCACCGCTCTACAGGGACAGGGAGAAAAAGCCAGTTCACACTATTGGCCCCTTTTCACTGACATTGTATTTGATCAAAGCAGTAGCTTGAGAAGTCACCTCTTCTAGACGACGGTCAGTCCCCAAGGCTAACACGTTGTTGAATTCCCTCTCCAGGACCTGCCGTGCCTAAAAAAAAAAAAACAGCACACACACGCTCTGTCACCAGGAGACACACAGTGAAGCTGTTAGTTGACCATTCAGAGTTTGATATTAACAGGAATCAGTGATAGCTCTTGAAGTATATTACAAATAATTCTTCTGATAATAGAACCTACCTTTATGTGTTTGTTCATTTATGAATATAATACTGTTTGCAAGTTTCACTGAAGCCTGTGCCAAGTCAATTATTTTAAGTGGATTCTGAGCTGGAACAACAGAGGCCTTCTGATTTAAAAAACAACTGATACAGAATCTGAAGCTGGCAGCAGGTAGCTGGCAGGCAAAGGTAATGCTGGTTGCAACCAAACCAATGTGACATTAAAAAATGAAAAGGGATGAAAAGTAAATGGTTATAGAAAGTCCAAAGGCCTGCCAATTCAATCCTGATAAAGAAAGTAAGGGATGACTCTCACCTATTTGAATCATTTCACTCTATTAATCATATTCACAGGCTGCCGTTTTCCTCTGTTCAAATGACTAAAACACAATTTCCCGAGCACCTTTAGGCAATATTTAGCTACTGTAAGACATGTATTTGTATTATTCAACCACTTATTAGGTAACATTACTAGTGTCACAAAGTATGGTGTAACTCTATTGTGATTAGTAATGCTAGCTGGCTAACTTTAATGTTAGCAAACGATTGACTAGCTAATGGTAATGTTAACTAGCTAACAGTATGGCAAATGTTAGCTAAATGTTGTGTTAGCTAGAAAATGCAAACATGCTAACAAGTGCACAGCTGTTTGTTTCCAATATCGAGCTATCAATTAAGTGTTTTTCGATTAAATTAAAAACAGATGTCTTGGCCATCATCTGTTGTCTTTTCAGAAGCTGATCAGTGGAGAAAGAGTGAGATAATAAAAAATAATAAGATTCCTGATACATTCATAAAGGCAGAGTACAACTTTACAACATTATAGCATAATTTGAACTTCCAACCATGAGTGTGACACATTTCTTTCCCTATTAAAATCACCTGTGTGTTCTGCATAGGGATCTGCAGGATGAGCGCTAGACTGCTGTAGTCGAAGGTCTCATCCAGAGCGATGAGCGCTCCATGGACGCCGCTTTCCAACAGGTTGCCGCTATATTCCCTCAGACCAATGGACAGGACCCAGTGGATTACCTGCTCATTGGTCCACACCAACACGTCTAAAGTAGGAGAGAGTGGAGCTTTTGTTCTACAGAGTTCCAGTGGTTATATTGAACAGAAAATAAGAGTAAATTGATTTTGAGTAAGGAGATAAAGAGATAATGTGCATGTCCACATAGTGTCAACTCAATGGCACACGCCCTTTGTTCGTTTAAAACGCAGCTGTTAGCAAGCTTTCCAAGTTGGAACAGGCGGTGTGCATGTGTTTGTCTGTGTGTGTGTGTGTGTGTGTGTGTGTGTGTGTGTGTGTGTGTGTGTGTGTGTGTGTGCAAACAGGCTGGGCTTGTGATCTGACAAGACAGCTGAGTCAAGTTCATGTGCAGAACTCAAGGTCAAAAGGGCGAGAGGGTTTGCTAGATCTAAGTGTGAGTGTGTGTATGTGTGTGTACTAGCCTTGGTATGTCGAGCTCTGGATCAGAAGACTGTAGGCCTGCCTTAGCTGCAGCTGTTTAAATGCTCAGGCAAAACTGACAGTATTGGGCCAAACCACTAGGTGGTACTCTGGCCTGATTAGACTTCGGGTGTGTTTATGCTTTAAAACTAGGGTTTCAATGTGTGTACGTGTATGTCATGCATTTTTTACACTCTGTTTGTAACAAGTTGTGTGAGAAGTGTACCTTTCATGTCGTGCTGGCTGTCCTCTCTCCGGCGCTCCAGGTCTTTTCTGTCATAATTGAGTCTCTTCAAGCACATAATCCCGTACTGCAGACTAGCCCTGGTA